TACTCGACACTGTTGGCGGGCATTCACCCACTCCTTGCTGCCGAGGGAACGGCAACCATAGCAGCCGCTGGCATAAACCTCAACAGTCTTCGTAACCACTCCCATTGAAAAGTCTAACAACTCTGCTTGGAAACAAAGAGAAACAGGTCGAACAGGAATAAGCGAGGGTCCATATGAATGGCCAGGCCGGACCAGAGGAAGGCTTGTACCTAAACTACCCGAACTTGGACAGCTGTGAGCCGCGCGGATCCAACCCCGCGCACAGCGAAGAATTCTCGAATTGGAATCTACCTAGGTGAAAATGAGGAAAGCTGTGATGCCCAAAGAGCTTAGTGGAACCTCAACAACGCAACAACATGTAACATAGTATGATCTACACGGTAACTGTGAAACTGTTCAACACCGAGCGCTTCTTCTAATAGGTCGCTCCGAAGCGGAAAGAGTCCTTGTCGTTGCAGTACTTCTTCTTCCGGCCCAAGCGGTTTGTTGTCGCGTTCGCAGGATTCACTAAAACATCTAAGCTCACTCCCATGGTGAGAGCGCTCCCTGCCTTACGTGGGTTGAAGGGGTACTCCTGCTTCCCTCTGCCTATCTCCCTGAACATTCCCTTGATGCCGTCAGTGAAACCCTCCGTTATCAAGCAGGGTGTCTAAGACGTGGATTCAATGCGGCGACTACCTCCCACTACTGAACTTACCTGATAGAAGTCAAGCCACACAATTGCCCATGCATGAGCAACGCGAACTGGGAGAGCGGACATGGTACTATTACACCAACAAAAACTAATCAACCGTAGATGATCATAACAGCACCCAACGGTCGGATTAAGAGCGTCTCCGACTTTCTGACCAGATGCGTGTGTGAGTCCGAGACCTCAGGAGACTGGTTGGTATGATGGATATTCAATTCCTCCTCTGGGAAACTATCGGACCGTAATACGCAGACGGCGTCACGGTCTCTCTCTATTATAGACACACACCACCCAACGGCCCTTGGGAATCAGCCCGTAGTAGACTAGCAGTAATGAGCTCTTCTACAGTTCATGGCCCATATGCGAGCGGCCTCGAGCTGCATGAAATGGAGACGACTGTGCTGTCATGTATACGCGTCCACATTCTCAGTGTAAAACGCGCGCGCCCAGAACGAGTTCCGTGCTGTTAGG